GAGAGTACTCTTGTTCAGCTAGAGCAGGGATCAGTCCTCAAGTTCAGTGCCATTTAACTGACCAGAGGGGAAAGAAACGCCTGATCCAGTGTCAGCTGGATATAAGGCACTCTGCCAGACACAGTTCACAGTTTCTCATCAAATCTCCCCAAAATTCTGCAGGTCATCATTTCCACTTTAGTGGATGAGACAACAGTGACCACAAAAGTTAAATAATTTGTCCACATTCAGATGGAATGCAAAGGCCAAACTAAATCTGAAATGTGGTTTGGTTCCAAAGTTGACACTCATTCAAGAAACATTTATTGGGCTGGCAGAGTGGCACAAGTGGTAGAGCGCCTGCCTAGCAAGCATGAGGCCCTGAGTTCAAACCCTAGTACCACCAAAAAAATAAAAAAGAAGAAGGAAAAAGAAGATAGAAACACTTACTAGGCTACTATGATGATGAGCTGAATGCCCTGTGAGGGCTGCATAGATGACGATCATGGAGCTACTGCTCCACGCTCTATTTTGGTATTTTAGGGGTTCAGGCACTCAGATGTGCTAAGAAGTACCACATGTGGGGCTTGCCTGGAGGTTTGCAAGTACTCCTGTATAAAATATGTATCTGTGTAAAAAAAAATTTTTTTTTTTTTTTTTGAAATATACATGTTTTACACCTATAGTTTGCCAGTATCGGGTAACATATTCTGTCCAAAAAGATGACATAAGGACCCAGTGTTTCCTGGATTGCAATGCAGCTAGCTGAGGCACTGAGAGAGGCATGTGGCACAGTGTAACCTGTGTGGTGGGACACGCACAACATGTCATCTGGAATGTGTACTAGTCATAAATTCCTCATTTATCAAGGCTGTAGAACTCACTTCCAGTTTACAGGAAATAGTGACCAGAAAAATAAGATAAAGGACACCACGAGGCCCTGACTATGTGACTCTGTAACATGGGACATTCTGCAGGACATGAGGCTTGGTTCTCTATGAGCAGCCGAGGAAGAGCAAAGGGAACCTTGTAGAACAAAAAGAGAAGTGAGGACACAGCCATCCTGGGAGGTGCATGTTACTGGAGTGGGTTTTGGTTTGGACAACCATCTGTAAAGGATATTTCTGAAACAAAGAGAGGAAGGACTGTCAGGGTAGAAAAGGGCAAGGACAGGACAGGGGAAGGAGGAGGGCAGGGCGAGCAGAAGAGAGAGGACCAAGGCAAGGCATAGGGAGATGGTGGTGACAGCTACAGCATTGGTGGTAGCAGGAATTTGGCAGGTTCAGAAGACCTTGGTGAGAGACCAGCCCTCTAGGGGGACTTTGGGTGCTGGGCACCAGCTCTACCTTGACCTTGGCCTTGGCTCTTAATCCATCTGACTCTTCATGAACAGCCAGCTCAGCACAAGGTCTTCCTTCCTCCTCCATCTAGAAATAGACTCTGGTCCTCATCTCATTGGCTGGAGAGCTCCAGGGTGCCTACCTGCTCTGCTGGGTGGTCCCTGGACTCATTCCTGCCATTCCTTCACGGTGACCTCTGGGCCCTTCCTCTCCTCACCCTGAGAGCCACTCAAGGTCAGGCTGGAGGCCACAACCTCCCACCAACATAGCCACCTTTGTCCTCTCCTCTCCTGCTTTCCCATGGTTATTTTCCTGGCCCACACCCACTTCCATACCACTTACTAGCTGGTAACCTTGGCAATGACATAACGTCTCAGTGCCTCAGTTTCCACAGCTATACCACAGGAATGACAGTAGTCCCCAGCCCACAGGGCTGTTGCAAGGACTGGATAAGCTGCTCTGTTTAAATTGCTTGGAGCCACACCCACGCAGCCCTGTGAACTGTCATCCTCACCATACTTTGCTGTGCCAGGATCTGATGGGGCCTGGGCAGGGCCTCCCCAGATGGAGACACTGTCCATTCTGAGGATTAGTAAAGGACTGCAAGAGAGGATCCCTAGACACCCCAAGAACCCAAATCTGGGGACTCACGAGTCTCTTATGTTCTGGGAGGGAAGAACAGAAGCAGCTTCAGTATCACCTTGTTTATTGGGACAAAGTTCTCCTGAGTTTTATGACTCTGTGGAAAATATTTTGGAATATAAATATTCACTTAAGATATTTAAGAGTCATGACTAGTTCTTTTCCAGATGGTAAACAGCTTAAAGGTGCTCCTAGCTCTGCCAGGTTTATTAGCAAGGACACTAATTATCTTTTTAGAAATAGGTTCCTTTCATGACCATGATTACCTTTTTAAAAAAATTCTTGGAAAAGGTCATACGTCTATTTCTTCCCTGGCCAACGGAAACCCTGGGCTTTTCCAGAACACAAATGGCCTCACCCACTACCGTTACCCAATTCACACTCTCCTCCCAGTAGAAATGTACAGAGGGAGTGAAGTTTCAGGCCAGAATGGGTTCCAGTGGGCTCTGTTATGAGCTGTCACAGCCTTCCCTAAGTCAGAGCCGTGCAGCTGCATAAGGGGGTGACACAGGCTTCTGGAGGACTCCACAGCTGCACTTGCCTAGGGACATCTCACTTCCTATCTCCAGGACATAATGCAGCCAAAGCCAAGGGAGGGTATAGCAGAACTTCCAACGCTGTAATGGTAATAGACACAATCGGTGACTTTGTGGACTCCCCAGGTGTTCTCTCTTGGGATTCAGGTTGCCCCTGACATGCTCAGGCAGTGGGGCCAGAGAAGACTTCCTCCTGATGCTCCAATGCTCCTAAGAAAAGACCAGTGGCCGCCAGAGTGCTGCTACCTTCAGCAGCTTCCTCAAAATTTCTTTATTTCTTTATTTCTTTATTTATTTGTGGTACTGGGCCCCACACCATTTTGCTTTAGTTATTTTTCAAATAAGGTCTCATGTTTTTGTCCTGTGCTGGCCTGGACCTATGGCTTCCCACACGGCTGAGATTACTGGCATGCACCACCACTCTTGGCTTTTTCACTGAGATGGAGTCTTCCTAACTTTTTTCCCCAGGCTGAACTCGAACCATGATCCTCTGTGCCCAGTCTTTCTGTGCACCTTTAAGATGTTAGTACAACTAAGCATCGGGTTTTTCTGGGGCAAAATGTAAAACTGTGTGGGGTCAGAGAGAGCATCTAGGGGCACAAAGACAAAATAAAAGTTGCTATCTCCCCAGCCTAAGATGAGCAACAGGGTGTCCCTGCCCCCTAGTGCTAATAAATTCAGCTGAAAACCTTTGCCTCAGGCACACCCTGCCTCTGGTGTTTCATGGCAACCTCCAGACAGACCATGATGAGCCTGGCTTCAGGGCCACCTGGCTTCAGAGCCTTTCTCCAGCCACCCATACAAGGTTTCTCAGGATACTAAGAGGTTAAGGCCCTTGCCAATAGGAAATGGAAGAGGCAGTTCGTCAGCTGTGTTAATGAAATGAATACTCTAGACCTGACAGTCCAATACACTAACAAGCACAAGGCTGCTTAAATTTAAATTAATGAAATCATAAATTGTAAAATTCAGCTCCTCAGTCACAGCATTTCAAGTGCTGAGTGCCCACAGATGGCTGGAAGCTACCGTGTTGGACAGCATGAATCCTCACAGAAAGTTCTATTGGACAATGCTGCTTGAGATGTACTCTTAACGAGCTAAACACCTTCCTTTTGCCATTCATCCATTCATTGCCATTCACCCCTTCACCAAATGGTCCCAGCTCATGACATCACACGACACCTGCTGCTACTATGGTAACACGTGGATAGTAGATCCTGACATTTAGATAATAACAAGGGATATGAATCATGAATCAAAATTTAGACCCTTCTGTGCCACGTCATCTTCTGAGGCTCTGGATGACCCAAAGTACGTATGTTCAGAATGAAGGACAGTGTCTCTAGCTTCTCAGGAGGCAGAGCTAGGAGAATCCACAGTTCAAGGCCACTTCTGGCAAAAAGCTAGCAAGACCTTATCTCCAAAATAAGCTAGGTGTTGTGGTTGTGGTCCCAGCTACTTGGGAGGCACAGATAGGGGGATCATGGTCTGAGGCTGGCCCCAGACAAAAAACACCCTATCTGAAAGATAAAGGAAAGTGGCTGGGGGCATGGCTCAATGGGTAAAGTGCCTGCCTTGAAAGCGCTCCTGAGTTCAAACCCTAGTACTGCCAAAACAACAACAAAAAATCCCAAAACAGTATCTGCATTTGAAGGGTGCCTGCTAACATTTCAAAGACTGCAAATCCCATGGAATCCAAACTCCATTCTTGATGTGGCTAATTCTTGAGAGAAAAACCTGCTCAATGATGTGGTACAGTGCTTTGACACACCGGCTAGGTTTTCTGGGGTCCACAGACATGCTGACCGGTAGCTGTGCAGTATTGGCACACTGCCAGGCTGGCCCCACTCTGCCTCCTGGCTTTGATACACCCAGGAGACTCAACTTCGTGTTAACAGAGTCCCTTTCTTTGCTTGACACCCTGCTCCACATTGGGCAGGCTCTCATTCTGCCTTGAAAGCTGACGCCCACAGTGCTACTCCATGCAACAAAGCCCCAGGGACCACCTAGACCACCTACTTCTGGGGAGGAGCAGTGGGGGCCATGAGACCCAGGAAGTGAGTGTCCCAACAGAACCATTTGTTTCTCTGCTGTCAATTCCGAGGTGCTGCCTGATGCTACTGCAAACTGTAAGTGTGTCTACAAACAATTTGCACTTCTGGAGTGGCATGATCCCAGGGTGTAATTAACAATCCCGGGGAATCAAATCATCTTTTTAAAAGCCTTTAAAAGCAACAAAGGCAGAGGCCACCATCAGTGAAACAGAACCACCCCACCCCCATCCTCTGGCATTTCAGAAGACACCTGGCTGACTCCTGGGGAGCTTCAGCGAGCACAGGGCCTCAATTTCATGGTGGGGCTCAGTATGAGTTAATTAGAATCAACTGCAGCATCTTCATCGGCTGTTCAACTTTCTGAGTGGAGCAGGCTTGGGAGAGGGCCTAAGATCACCAGAGTTAGAAGCAGCACTTAGAAGAGTCCCCAAATGCTGCACAGCCCGTACCGTTCACCATTCCAAGGTGGAAGACCGCGTTGACCAGCATGCCGCCTTTCCGGAAGTGGTCACTCATGTGCTCCAACCAGTTGGCATCCAAACTGCTCACCGTCTGGCCGTTCCTGGAGACCCGCAGAGGAATGGAGACGGGATAGTACTGCCGGCACTTCTGATGGCTCTTCGGTCTGTTGAAAAGGGCGAAGATCTCCATTTCTGCAGGAATTTGTAAACAGGGTAGAGAAAGGAGAATCAGCTGGGGTAAAACTCTGCCTCATCAGGTTTAGTGAAATCTCTCAGGGAACCTGTGAAATGGTATCAGCTGAGACGTCTCTGAGGCTGAGCAGTAAAACCCCATTCCAGGTGGTAAGGCAAGGCTGCCTTGTCAGGTGACAAGGGCCTCAAAGGTTGGGCTTTCCATGGGGGATTTAGGATTTGAATGTAGGATATCATGAAGAGTGTTATCTGGGATTACTCTGCTGTTAAGACATTTGGGGAAAGGACACAGCAGACCTTTCTGGAAATGCATACAGAGATGTGTTTTGGAAGTAAAAGCAGACATCCTTGGGTGAGAGCACTGAGACACATAAAACAAAAATACTGCTCTAATTCCAAGAACCTTGTACACTCCTGAACTCACTATTTATAAACTGCACTTGTGTTTCCTGGGGCTGAACCCATAAGACTTCATCAAGTGCATCAAAAATACATCACTGATATGTAAAAATAAATATGTTCCCGTAAACAAGGGTTCCTGCCTGGAGTGGCGGGTTGGCTCAATCAGCCAAGCAGGCGCTGGGAGCCAGACTCCAATTCTTCCATTCGTTCGTTGATAGCTCAGTTCTTCAGAAATCAATACCCACTACCACCCAGCAGCAGATGCACGCCTGCTGTACGTGCTGCTGGGCAGGAGTCAGCAGCAACTGCTTCCAGGAGCAAATACCTGGAATTTCAATCTCGATCTGAAGGGCTATTTTTGTGATACTCGTTTGGTTAAATAGGCAGAGTTGACCCAGCTTTTTAAACAGCTTTGCTTACACAGGCTGGTCAGGAATATGTTTTGGTTTCTAAAAATATCTTCTGTAATCATAAGAAAATTCCCCACCCTTCTTTCAAACCCATAACTGAAAGGTCATAAACAATAGTTGACATTAATGAAAAAGATAAAAAAAATTTGTGCTCCCTGCATGCAACACCAAGACCCCGTGCTGGGTGGCTGCTTCCCAAATTTCAGTATTTCACAGGTTTTCTGGCATCCAAGTACTAGCTGAATTATTGTTCAGAAAGATTAACGTTCTGAAGTCATTCTGAAAGATGACTTCATTTTCCTTTATTTAAATAAATGCATTTTAAAAAGAAAATCTGCCCCATGACCATAAAGGCAAACCACTTGTCATAGTGGAGAACAAGGAGGCACATTAACACCATCTGGGTGACATCTGAAAGTGTCTCATTTAGGTGCTGTGTGCTGGGATGAAGAAAATCTTCTCACAGTGCCATCTGAGCAGAAATGGAGGGATCTCTGGGCCATAAGACCTGCCACCGGCAACAGTTCAACTCACAGGGCAGCCATTCAAGCTACCCATCCAAGAGAACCAATGCCTACCTTCAAAAATGGTACCTAGATTTTAAACATCAACCACAGGATGGCTATCATCACCGCTGCCGCTGACTGAAGTCAGTCAGTTCACCTGTCTGACTTGCAATGTCATAGCTAGCCTGTAAATGCTTTCATACAAGAAATTAGGTCCTGGATACAGAGCCAGCAATCACCAGGCTATTTGCTGACTTTGAAATACAAACTTCAGGAATGGAGTGACACCGAGGAAGGTTTGTAATGGAGGGAACCAAGCCAGGGCTTGGAGTTTGGAGGCAAGAACGAAATGAACAGTCAGGAGTAAGTTTTGCATTCCAGGATGCATTCCAGGATGCCAGTTACAGCAGAAGCTACTAAGGGCAAGAGGATAAGCCATGTGTTCAGGCAGCTCATGGCCTCATCTGGATTTCTTCCAAAGCAGACCCTATACGTTCACCATGCGCATCGAGTCTACCTGGGAAGTGATGCCAGGAAACAGAGGGAGGGTTGAGGATGGTCAATAAGGAGAGGTGAAAGGGGCAGTAATGGCAAGTCCATACAGATCTGACCAAGACCCAGAGACTATATATAACACACTCAGATGGACCCGCTGAGGACAAGGAAGCTAGGCATTTTTCTTCACAGATCCAAAGTCACCCCTGAGCCATTCACTCCCATTCCCCAAAACGCCTGCAAGCTGAGAGGCTCAGGAAGCTGTTGCTTTGGTTACAACTATCTGCAGGTGACCATAAGGCAATTCAAAGCCCCAGTGCCTAGGGTCTGTTACAGCCAAGCACAGCCTGGATAGAATTAAGAAGAAATCACAGCTGCTGCGTAGGAGAGGAGAGGGGGGGATTTGAAAATGGCCAAGGACCAAACACACATGGTAACACTTGGTCATACAGAAGGATTTCCCACTCACATGACAAGACAAAAACACTGCTTTCCCCAATGCATAATAAAAACAGAAAAAGGGGAAGCAAGGACGCTGGGGTGGGTGGAGGGAGATGGAGACCATCCGACAAGGTGAACTGGGCTGACAGCATCCCAGCTTTCCCGTTTTGGTCCTCCCCAGGGGGCAGGACTGAAGCCAGAGACAGAAATAAATTTTTCAGGAAGGAAAAGGAAATGAAGAGTCTCCAGAGTATTCATGGCAGTGAAATATTGGGAGAAACCTGATTTCAGATGCAGAACTCTCTAGTAAACACCTCTGTCCCACTGTCTCCCTGGTTATGGTCCCCAATCCACTCACACAGAAACAAGCCAAGAAAGACTGTCTGAAAGCCATGTCCTTTGATGTGTTCCTCTTCTGATTCTTTGACATATCCTCATAGGAGAAGGGACCAAGGATTCCAAAAAGGAGCACCATTTGTTTAAATTTTCTCATTTACTTTGTGACTCTTCCATGACCCCAGCTGAAAGATTCTTCCAGACCTGGGACAGAAAGTCCCAAAGGAGTAGGGAGGGCATTGTTTGTGAGAATGGCCAAAGAACCACACTGGCAGAGCCCCCAGGAGCATCAGTCTGTCTTCGTCCTTCTTTTTCCCAACGTGGGGGCCCTGCCCAGTCTTACTTGCATCGCTCATGTTCAGCATTGTCCCTATGTACTACAGCAAATGCTGCACGTTTCTGTGGGTTCACCTGAGCCAGACAGTGAAAGGAGGCAGTGAAAGGAGGTTGGATGGGGCCAACCTCATGGCCCCATCCACTCGGGCCTTGCTAGGGTAGTGGGGAGCCAAGAGCAAGTGTGCAGCTCTGAGGCCTGTGCCTGGGTATCAGAACTCAGGATGGAAGTCTGTGTGACTTGAGCTTGACCCACAGGGACTGGTCAGGTCCTGGTGTCCAAGGAGACCTCTGGTCTGAGAGAGTTCAGAGATCCATTTAAAGGGTAGGGCTTCGACATGGGAAGAGGAGGCTGATGGGTTAGCCACGTTGGAAAGAGCAGGTGGGAGTCAGAAACAGCTAAATGGGGACTGCAGTCTGCTGAGGTCATGAGCAATGGAACTAAGATAAAAGGCTCTCGTTGGGAAGGGATGGTGGGAGGATAGAAGGACCTGGAGAAGGCTGCTTCAAGGTTCCATCAGGTTCGGATACCAATAGCAGGGGACCCTCGGTTCAGCAAGAGGCCACTGCTAGGGCAGCAGAGAAAGGCAAAGAGCAGGAACGGCTGTGTGCACAGTGATCAACAAGAATCACTCGGAGAGCACTGCAGCAGACGCAGACATATGCACCAGGGCCATGACCGTCCTCACTTCACGTGACTCTCCCCATCTCCATGGAGGGGGCGGCACCAGTTCTATGCCCAGTAGCATGAAGAGGATCCCCCAAGACTCAGCTGATAGGTCAGTGCAGAGCCAAGAGTCCTTCAACCCCAAACCCTGGGCTCTCTCCTGCACCTAACAAGAGACTAATTTCATCAGGACACAGAGAGCAGATGCCAGTGACCATGGGTGTAGGGGACATTTGTTCATGGGCTAAGTGAAAGGACAGAAAGATAGTGGCAGGCGGCAGATCTAGGAGGTGGCAGTCACAGGGTTAACTATCATGAGGGTGTGAGGAGGGACGGAGGCCACACATCTGAAAAGTCCCCGGGAGTCTCAGCCATTTACAATGAGCTGGCTGCCACGGAGGTCCACTGAACAAAATCCCATAACCAGAAATGTAATTAAGACCACACCCGGCTGCTGGCTGGCACAGCTAAGGGGGTGGAAAAGGCAGTGCCTGGTGACCATAAGAATAATCAGAATTTTCGTGAACCTGGTCTCGTTGCTTCTCCTGTAGCAAAAGAGAAGCTCGGGCTGTTCCTGCCTGAGCCCAGGTGGTCACTACACAGCACGGACCTCAAACCAACGGGAAATTTCCCCCAGAGCAGGAAATCTAAGTCAATGAGCTGGAAGAGAAACAAGGAGGACCACACCTCAGGGAGACAGTCCACTCTGCTTCTAGTGGAAACCCCAGCAAAGCCCTGTGTGAGCGCTGCTGCCTGGATTCCTCTCCTAGGCCTCTTCCACAGGAAACAAATTAACCGAGGAGACAAGGAGAAGGAGGGAGACTCCCTCTGGATTTTCTTTTTTAATTGTCTTGCTGTGATTGCCTATTTAAGCCCACCTGGCAGAAAGAGGCGCAAAAGCACTTCACCCTCCTTAGGGGGCCCTGGGAGAAAGGCAGGCTGGGAGCTGAGCAAGCTGTGTGGGGAGCAGGGCTGGGGGAGAATGGAGGGGACATTGGGAGGGGACTGTGCGTATGTGTTGGGGGGTGATGGAGAGCGGACTTCCCGGGGAAGGAAACAAGGCTCCCCAGAAAAAAGATTAGGAGAGAAGCCAGGGTTAGGTGAGGGCCATGACCCATGGGGGCAGATCAATCAGCCAGGACAATCAGCCTTCAGGTGAGCCGTATGTTCAGGCTGAGATAAAGAAACTATTAAATTTTTGAGGTCATAGGAGGAGACCTTCCTTATCTGTGAGAAAGGCATCATAGTCACATCTTCTGTCATGGCTATCATAGGTGAGGAATAACTGAGATAACACTAGACAGGAGTGGGACTACGCTCTCAGAGTGACCCATAACCATTGTTTGTCTATCCCCTGGAGGCCTACATCCCTCCAGAAACCCACCTCCCCCTTGTTTATTACCTCACAAAAAATCCAAAGGCTCATTTACTCCCCCAAAGAGGAAAACAAGATAACAGAGAACTGCCTGAATGGCAGCGACCTGGAGCCTGGGTGACCACTTGAGTGGACAAAGGTAGCCATCTCCTACCTTTGTGGGGATCTCGACCTACCACTACACCGAAATTCCCACCCACTGCTGGGCTGACACCTCCATCACCACAATGGTTCCCTGGCAGGATCTGGGTCTCCAGGCGGATATGGGGCAGGCCAAAACACTTGGGTGCTGAGGCACTTCTGCACATTCGGCCATGGTGGAGATTCTGGACAAGGAGGTGAGCAGCTGCACAGCAGCAGGAAGGGCCTAGGCACCCACCTATTTCTAACTCTCCCTGGGGTCAGCCACAGACGGCAGGAAGTCTAGAAAGTTCTGGAACACAGGGAGTATCTGCTATCTCTGGGGCCAAGCTCAGCATTGACTGCTTCCTTTCTCAAAGCCAGGTTTCCAAGAGGGGTGGAGGTCAGGAGCCAGGACTGCTGAGCCTGTGCCTGGCCCAATGACAACCGCCCACGCGGGTGAGTCTGCGTGCTGAGTGCTTTAAGCAGACATCTCTCTGAGCTTCTCTGTGGGAAGCTACCGTTCTTGACTACGTACGAAGGCGTGTGGCTCAAGACTACTGCCTAGCTAGAAAGTAGGCAGAACGTGACAGAGTTGAGGTTCTTTCTTTTTTTGCAGTACTGGGGTTTGAACTCAGGGCCTCACGCTTGCTAGGCAGGTGCTCTACCACTTCAGTCATGCCTCCAGCCCTTTTCTGCGTCAGTTTATTTTTCAGATAGGGTCTCTTGTTTTTGCCCAGGGCCAGTCTTGAACCGTGATCCTCTTACCTATGCTTCCCCGTAACCGGGAAGACAGGTATGTGTCACAATGTCTAGCTTATTGATTAAGATGGGAGACGGTATCACTAACTTTTTGCCCAGGCTGGCCTCAAATCACGATCTTCCCAATTTCTACCTCCCAAGTAGCTGAGATTATAGGCGTAAGCAACTGCATCTACCTGTCAGTCTTGATACTCATTCATCTTGCAAGGCCAGTAGAGGCCCCACTACTCTGAGGAAATGATTGGATGCTGGATATCCAGGAGAAAGTAGAGAAAAGGGAACTGTGGGGAGGGAAGTGAAAGGGAGGCTTTGCTCCCTGTCAACTGAGGGACTCAGGAAATCTTGTGAGCTTATGCAGAAAAGACCAGGAGAGAGGCTGGGTGGGCCTGTGGTTACATGCTCCTAGGTCCGTGCCAGATGTGGCAGTCTCCAGCCTGGGCAACACGTTTCCTCTCGGCATCCCGACTGCACAGCTGGAAACTGGGTGATGATAACGGCACTCGCACCTCACAGGGGTACATGGAAAATTAAGAGTGGTCATTTAAGAAGCTTACTGGCACGAGGCCCAGAACACAGGAAGTATCAGTAAATGGTGGCTATCATTGTTGTGTGTTGTTACTTGAACTCCTTAACCCAAACAGAACATTCTAGTGGCCACCGGAATGGGATTAAGCAGACTCCTGTACTTGGCGGCCTATTCTCTCCGTGGTGCTAATTTGTCAACTAGGGGCTCCCTGGAATCTGGCTGTTTATATCCTACAGAGCTGAACCACAGCTCCTGGCTGACTGTGTTTTCTTGCTCTGGGCAGACATTCAAAAGAGTGGAGTGTGCCATGTCTCTCGTGCCCAGTCTGCAAACCATTCCTGTGTGAGGGCAGGCCATCCAAGGGCAAAGCAGGAGCCCAGGCACACCATCACTCACAGCCTAGATCCCGCTTCCACAGTCAATTCCTGTGGCTCTGCTCTGCCCAGAAGTCACAACTTCAGCAAAGTACATAACTGCTTGACAAACAGTCTCTTGTCTGATGGACTGCTGTGTCTGCACTCTTAATTCCATTTCTTTTTCCTGAACAGGCCCTGGGGAATCCTGAAGAGCTGTTAGCCTCCCTGGAAGCAGTCAAAGCCGCCAGCGCGCATACTTACTCCCTGTGAGTGGGTCTCCGTGCATATCTGAGGGGTTGCCCTCTGGTCCATCCAGTGGGGGGCTCACCCCCTGCAGTGAAAACTCGCCACTCTCACCCTCTTCCGAGGGTAGACTAGGGTGCTGGGTACAGGGTGCCTCCCTGGTAGGGCCTGGGCTGGGTGCTGGACTTCGATCCATCCCTGCAGGAACGACTCCCACGTCTGCAGCCCCCGGGTCCTCGCTCTCCAAGGATGTATGATCCCCACGGGCAGTCCTCACATCTCTGGCATCCACAGCACTGTGGGCAGTGGGCACGGGAGGACTGCTGCCCACTGAGGGCACGGGGGACTGGTACTGAGGTATGACACCAATGAACTTCAGGCCCCGACTCGCGGCCTCCTGGACCTAGGAGGAAGGAAAGCAAGGGAACTGCATGAATTGGACGGTCCATCAAAGGGACACGGCAGTGGCCAGTGCCTCTGCACAAATGTCAGCAGAAATGCAAAGAACACTAGGCTAAGGAGCCATGTCCCCAAGTCAATGCCTGCATTCTACTCCTGGACTGATGGGGACAGGCACTGTGTAAATGGAGAAAGAAAAAAATGGACCCTAAATGGCTGCGATCATCTCTCTATGAAACACTGCATTAGTCCCTACTTATTTATTATTTGTTTTTGGGTTTTGGAGACTGGGTCTCACTATATAGACCAAGGCTGGCTTTGAACTTACCATCCTCCTGCCTCAGCCTTCCAAGTGGTAGGATTACAGTCCTGAACACTGGTTTTTATTTTTTTAAGAGGCTGAAAAAGATTCTAGAAGAACAAGCTTAGACTGAGTTTGAAAGAGGAAGTTCGTTGTGGTAACAGTTTATTTTTTGTTTCTTTTTCTGATGAATCACCAACTTCCTGCCCATGGAACTACTGCTAAATACAGCAATGTCTGTGCAACCATGGCCTCCCTGCCACGTGGTATGGAGGCAATACTAGGGTTTAAGCTCAGGGCCTGTGCTTGCTAGGCAGGTGCTCTTCCACCATGAGCCACGTCCCAACCCTTTTTTGCTTTAGTTATTTTTCAGGTAGCGTTTCGCATTTTTGCTTGGAGTGAGCATGAACTGTGATCTTCCTACCTGTGCCTCCCACGTATTTGGGATTGTAGATGTGTACCACCACTTCTGGCTAATTGGTTGAGATGGGGATCTTGCTAACTCAAACAGTCATCCTCCCGATCTTTATCTCCCATGTAGCTGGGATTACAGGCATAAGCCACCAAGCCTGGCAAGAGCTTCCTCTTTGAGACAGAATTTTTGGCAGAGAAGGTCAGAGATGGGGAAAACCGCCTGCGTGAAGGCTGCTAGGCACCCTCCTCCGTGACACCCTCAGGCCTGGGGGAATCCAAGCAGCCCACAGACTACACCTGACCGACAACCACACCAGGCCCCTAGGTTCACACCATCCTGTGCAGGCACCCAGGCAGTTGCTGTTCCTCCCTTTCTGGAGTCTTTTGATACCCCAACACTTCCTAAAAAAGTAACTCTAGGCCACTGAAACTTACAAGTCTAAACTTTGAAAGAAAAACTGAAAGTAACAGCCTAATTAAATCAAGCACAAGCCAGTTCAAAGTAGGAAGTGGACTTAAGGGTAATTTCCCCAGCAAGGATGCTCAAGTCACCTGACCAATAAGGAAGCAGCTAAGTCTTCGTCAGCATCCCTAAAGTGGATGACCTCAGAAAACCTCAAGCCTGTGCAGGGATCATCTGCTGCCTTCCTCAAGAATCAGCAAGAAATGCTGGCCTGGAGCCATGTTCCCCCAGGAGGAGGTGAGGAACAAGCCTCTGCAGCCATCTCTGCAACAACCACCCCGACCCTAAACAAAGGGTCATTTTGGGTCTATACTACACATTCCATAAAAAATCTACAGCCCTTGTAGATTTATGATCCAATCTTTCTATAATGCTTAGTCTACATAAGACATGGCAATAACCACAGCAGTAATTATCACTGACTGTAGACCTACTACGTGTCAGGCACTGACCCTGGCATTTCATGTCAGTCACTGTTTAATTCTCCAATGACCCTCCATTGCATCATTCACCCCATTTCAGATGAGGATACTAAGGCCCAGTGACATCAAAGTTATAACACAAGCAATGAAGAGCTAGAGTTCAAAGGCAGGCCTGGCCTGGGCCAAAGTAGACATAAGACCAAGTGGACACATCTCGGGCCATCAGATACATCACGTCCACGGTCATGAGTGTGTTTACTCGTATGCTCACTGTTGGCTCAAATCACTCTTTGCATGTTAGAAGAGTTAAAAAAACAAAAACCTTTAAACTCATCCTTTTCATTCTGAAAATTTACTTTTTACTATGATATTCACCTATTTGAGAAATTATTTCTGAAAGCTTCTAAAGGAAGACATAGGAAACAAAAGCTTGAAAAGAGTGGGGAGATAGTTGTATCAAAGAACCCTAGGTTTAGGAAAGCTACTGCCTACAAAGCACAGCTTTGAGCTCCCTGGCAACATAGGCAAAAAGAGAAAGGCAATGTATTTTACAGTCCTCAAAGGAGGTATGGCAACCTCCTTACATGGGCTCCTGCTCGAGTGTGGGAACCACAGTGATTATTGAAGCATTTTAGAAGCTGGTTCCTCTGAGGGCTGAGTCACAGGCTGTCTCCACCACAGACATTCGTGCAATGGCAGAGAGGTTGAGGGCATTCAGAAAGGCTTGGAGGCCCAGAGGTGTAGCTCACTGGCATGAGGTATCACAGCAGTGACAGAGTTTTCCGTGTCTCCGTTTTCTCATTATAAGGTGGGGGAAATCCTACTTCCCCTGCAGCTGCTCTGGAGAGTAGACACAATGTATGGCCGGTACATAAAAGGTCAGGCACAGAGCAGGTACTCACAGCCACCATGATGGCGCAAACCTCTCTCCTGTCAGCCTGGGACTTCTGGGACCCTCCAGAGACTGCTGAGAGCCATCCCGAGAGAAGAGGGGAGGACTTTGGACCTAGGGGCATGTCCTAGCCAATCCTTCCTCCTTGGAATGGAAGAATGAGGGAGGCTCAGATATAAGTCAGACTTCAGGCCTCTCCCTCTGCAAACTGGACACCATGGTCCTTTGCCAGATTATCTGCAAATGTATCCGCTAGGCCAGAGGTGGTTCTCAAAGTGTGGTCTTGGGGACCAGCAGCTTCAGCAGCCCCTGGTTCTCAGACCCTATCGAAGACCTTCTCAGTCAGCCCCTTTGGGGCTGGGGTTCCTCATGCTTTGTTTGAACAAGCCCTGTGGGGATTCTAGGGCAGCCTGCTACTTGTGAGTTACTGCTATAGAACTTGCATTTCACAAGGTTTGGGGTGTTCTGCACAGCTGTGTCCCAAGCGATAAAATGATGTCCAACAGATAGCAGGCACTTAATGCAGAGTTGCTGAATGAATGAATACATACACTAAATAACGAGTGGATATGTGTGTCTCTGCTCCCTGAATGAGCTCCTTGAAAGCTGGATGGTGATGGATTAAACTTTCAGCTCTAGAGCTCAATAAACATCTACTAAGCGACTTTACTGGCCCAGACCAACACTGTGCTTAGGTACTGGGGACACAAAATAGGAGCTCTGATCTTGAAGTACATCAAGTCAATTATTGTAAGCAAACTTTAAAAATAATTACTCAGCCCAAGCATGGTAGCGTACCATGCCTGTAATCTGCTACTCAGGGAGCAGAGGTAGGAGAATCATAATCTGAGCTGTCCTGGAAAAAGTTAGCTCAAGACCTATCTGAAAAAATAAACTAAGAAAAAAGGGTTGTGGTCATGGCTCAGGTGGTAGAGCACCTGCCTAAAAAGTATGAGGCCCTGAGTTCAAATCCCAGTAGTGCCAAAAAAATGACACTAACATGGAACAAGTAATGCTGTATTACAATGTTACATGAAAATCAAGATGCTAAACCTCACACACACATAAGACAAACTATGCAACACACACACACAAAGCTATGCACAGAAACATTTGAAATGAAAGCTGTAGGATGGTAGAGTGGGGCTGTGAGTGATTTTTTTCTATTTGTGTAATTTTCTAAACTTTATTACTATTAGAATTTTAAAAAGTAAAAACTTTAAGAAGTTCTCACACAAGGTGACAACTGTAACAGCGAGTGCCCAGGTTTCTCAAAAGTGACAGTGACACAGTGATTCTTTTCACCCAAAAGGGAAGGGAAGGCAAATTTCTTACAGAAGGCGAGGGTGGTAACAGATACAATGATGGAACACAGCAGGGCTTCGGTAAGGAGTGCGATACTTCTGCAGATGTATGCCTCCACTCAAACCTAATTCATTTTTCACAGTATTGTGCTCCACAAAACCTATTTGGACACCAGATCTGCCAAGAAGCTTTGAAGGATGCATAGGAATTCACCAGCTATGTGAAGGAAAGGAAGAAAGCAATCCACAGAAAGGCAAGAATTTTGTCCTGGGCAAAAGCTCAGTGGTGCACACCAACCTGGTATGCTAAAGAAACTTCTAGAAGTATTTCTAGACCGAAGCCAGGAGTACCCAGAACTGAGGATGAACTGGACATCTCAAGGAGTGGGTCACATATGTCTGTGAATAAAGTCAACAGAGGCTCTGATCAACATTCCCACCACAGTGACTGAGAGCAGACGAGAGTAGGGTTCAAGGGCAAAGCACAAAATTTCTTTTGATATTCAAGTTTTATTTTAAACACTGGTGCAAATTTCACATCCTGTACCACGGTGCCTCAGAGTATGCACGCCTGGTAAAAGATGCTGAAATAAATGCTCCCTCTGCCCCAAGCCTTCCAGAGGAACTGATGTCCAAGAAGAAGAAGAGCTTTGTGCAGACATCTTTACCTGCAGCTCTGCTCCTCTCCTCGGGTGGATTCTGAAAGTAGAATTAGTAAGTCAAGGGATGTTAACTTTTCAAAGGCTTGGAACAGGCTGCCAAATTATTAACTAGAAAGCGCAAGTAGTCCTTCTTAACCAGAAGACTGCATTTAGATTTTATAAAGATTAATATTTGGCTTGATCCTACGGGCCTTGACTTTTCTGGTTTTCTACCTGACCCCAGTCCAGATGCTTTCACTTCTCTTTTTCATGAAGTCATCTGCCTGTGTGCCTCCAGCTAAACTGAATCCTGTGTGCTCTCATTCATTCATTCATTCGTTCACTCACAGGCTTCACTGAGCAAGTCTTTAATGGCAGCACTAAGACAGCATTCATCAGGGTTCATCCTTGGTCACCCGCTCTCCCCAACTTTGGTAATTCTACTCACAAGGAATTATACACTGACCATGTTAATTATTCCCAAGTTGGACACCAGCCCTGACTTTCCTTCCAGGTTCAGACCTATGTGACTGCTGGTCACATCAGCCTTGTCTCTCTTTGAATGTG